CTTGTTGGTCTATGTTGTTTTAAGGTTCTTATGTATGCAATGTCAGAGAAATTATAGGAAACTTTGCATCTCATTGAATATTTTTGGTTTTTTTCCTTGTTTGAAATATAGTATGCTATAGTTCTTTTCTTTTCTTATTTATTTTTTTATTTTTTATTTTTTTTGTTGGGGTACTTTGTTTTGTTTAATTTTAATGCTGGCTGGTGGTTAGTTAGCCTTGTTTCATACATCACAATGTTTACCTCTTAGTTTTTGAATTTTTTCATTGTCCGGGATAAAATCACCATCCTTTGAAATTTTCATTTAGGTTATGATTGGCTATTTAAGATGTTTTGCTTTTAGGTAAAAAAGATTCTCATGAGTCTCTATGGTATATATATTTACTTCATAAGTTCCTACCAATTGAGATGCTTCACTTCCCTTTGTCTACCACATTACTTTAACATATGGTTTGGTGATTGAGACCGATCCAGGCATTCTTCTTCTATGGATAAACGATATATAGATTGGGTGTTCATGCGTGCCCATAAGCAGAGCCATGTTCTTGCTAAGAGGGCCTAAAGGACCCCAAGTTAGGTTATTGTCTCGGTTCACTGTTTGAAGGTGACAAGATTGACCATTTCTTGCAAATTTCCCTTTGTTTTGAGAAGGATGATTGATATGGATATTAATAACGGGTGTTTTCACTTTCCTGATGTTAAACTTGATGCATGGTTTTACCCTGGTATTGAGTTTGCACTGATGTTCTTTCAACCTTTTGATTGGAGAGAAAACTAGTTTAGTTTGTACGTTATTTATTATTTGTTACCATTGGCTTTGTTTTACAAATAACGGACATATTTTCCCCTAGAACATATTAGCATCACTTTCATGTTCTTTGGTTTTAATTTGACATGGTTACCTAAATGGGCTTGTTGTTGATATATTTCCTTATGGTTTGGCATGCCATAAATGTTGAAAAGAAATACTAACTGGGGAAAAATTTTGTGATTACTTGTTTCAGAGTCATGGCGTGAATCAAGGGCAACAGGCACATTGCATTCCACTGGTTGATCATTGCAAAGACTCCCCTTTAGGAACCCACAATGTATCAGTCAACAATGTTGAAGGAGCTACTCAAGTGGACTACCATCCTCTGGACTTGCATCAGGACTTTGGGCACAACTTCTACACTGGTTTCACCAGTACAGATTTCTGTGGTAATGAGGCAATGGTATCTAGCTATCTGCCATGTTTGTTCCCACCACCCTCTGCATTCCTAGGCCCAAAGTGTGCACTTTGGGATTGTCCTAGGCCTGCTCAAGGATTGGACTGGTTTCTGGACTATTGCAGTAGCTTTCATGCTGAGTTAGCATTAAGTGAAGGGCCACCTGGAATGACTCCAATTGTACGACCTGGGGGCATAGGCCTCAAGGATTGCTTGCTCTTTTCTGCTTTGGGTGCTAAGGCAGAAGGAAAAGATGTTGGTATACCAGAGTGTGAGGGTGCTGCCACTGCAAAGTCACCATGGAATGCTCCTGGTAAGTTGCATAAATTTTGGGTTTAGCATTAGTTGGTTTGTAAAGGTAATTTTTTTAACTGAGAACAGAATATATCCTCTAATAAAACACTATGTTTTTTTTTCCAACCCTTTTTTTTTGCACTGTTTGAATTGTCAGTTAAACTTTTTATCTGATTGCAGAGCTCTTTGATCTTTCGGTTCTTGAGACTGAAACCATAAGGGAGTGGCTCTTCTTTGATAAGCCTAGAAGAGCATTTGAGAGTGGGAATAGAAAGCAGAGGTCTCTGCCAGATTACAGTGGACGTGGCTGGCATGAGTCAAGAAAGCAAGTCATGAATGAGTATGGAGGGCTGAAGAGATCATATTACATGGACCCACAGCCATTGAGCCATTTTGAGTGGCACCTCTATGAATATGAAATTAACAAGTGTGATGCTTGTGCTTTATATAGGCTGGAACTGAAGCGCGTAGATGGCAAGAAGGGTGCTAAAGGTAAGTCAGCAAATGATTCAGTTGCTGATCTGCAGAAGCAGATGGTAAGGCTCACTGCAGAGTTCCCATCTGATAACAAGCGGCTTGTGAAGGGAAGGGCCAGAATCAATGCAAAGGTTGATGGCACACATTTTTATTCCACAACAAATGTGGATGCACCAGCACATGATAAGTTTGATTACGGGCTTGCTGTGCCGTATGATTATCTTGTTGACAACATAAGCAATTACTACCAAACTTAGTCCAAGAAACTGGGAAGTGGAAGTAGCTGCATTCTGCTAGTCTAGTTGCGTCAGCTGAAGCATCTTAATTTACAAGAATAATGGAATTTATGAATATTTATGTGTCCATTCTGCAGTTTTTCATCATCGGAATCTTCAAGGTCTAGGTCTTAATTATGTACAGTTACAGGGAAGTGCTACATTAGGCAATCCTAGCTTGTGCTTGTTCTAACCTTTTGGAAGAATGAAGATTTAACCCAACTACAGAAATGGCCATTTTTAATCGTCCATTAGGATTGGGGAGCTCCACAAACTCGCACTTCTTTTTGTATGCTTTCAAATTTTATGCTGAATATCTCTCAGCTGTAATGAAGACTTCCGAGTTTGTACCAGCACATCTACATATAAGCAAAGAAATACACTGCAAAATCATCCACAACTATGAAATAGTAAGTTACTTTTTAACAAATTTATGCATTTTGTTCAATAACCTTTTATCTCTTTCATCTGATCTTATACGAATTTCTGTTCAACACAGTTGGATGATGATACTAGACTTAGTCATGAAAAAGATCATTCAAGCAAGATAGCAGTGCAAAACATTCTTGTCTTACATAAGAGGGAACACAATTCTAAACTTAACAGGACCATCCTTACATACACCGGGATCACTATTTTTATAATACTTAGCACATGATGTGATGAGCATATTGTTGCACACCTCCTGTTCACTAAAAAAGCTAACATAATTACAGGCCTAATATATCCTAGAAACATTACAAGGGGCATCATGGGCTACTGAAATTAGTTGACTAGGGAACAAGATTGGTCCTTCCTACTCAGCACCATCATCTTCCAGGTTGTTAACCCGCTCGCATTCATCAATCCATTCGCTGTATCTGCAAGTTTAGCATAAATAAACAAGATAGATAAGGTAGACGAGGAGAACAGAGAAGGTTCACATTGATGGCACATAGAAACTTACATGTCTATTGGTTCGGTTAGAGCTGCAAACACAGAAAGGGAAAAAAAAAAAAAATGCAACAGATGGATCAGCACCCAAGGACTTTCAATTTTATTTCATCAAAACTATGAAAATCAAGTTTTCTACAACAAAAAGGGATTAGAATTAGAAAAAAAAAAAAAACCTGTAACAGTAGTGCTGAAACTCTCTTCACAAATTCTGCACGAAGCCTCCCCAATAAGGTTCTTCATATCACTAAAACAAGACTACCCCAACTATTAATATCATGTATCATGTATATCCACAACTTAAACATCTAGGATGACCCTCAAAATTTGATTTTGAGATACTGGTTCTTAAAATTTTTTTGGTAATATAAAGAGTTTTTCCTGTGTGACATATAAAATACTGAATACAAGAAGAGGCAGTTCAAAATTTCTATGTTATTATGTTATAGCTAATAGAAAAGGAGCCATCTTCAACATACTCATACCGAAGCGAAAATACATACATTTTGCACTCAACGCTGGTGCCATGGTTGCAGAAGGGGCAACTGAAAACAGTATCAAGCTTGTCCCTCCGCTTCCTTGGAGGCGGCTTCGTTCTCGACTTCCTCTTTCCCATAGTTCAATTCCTTCAGTATCAACAATTAAACCTATGATATGAATAAGTATTTATCTTCAATCAAAATCACCAACTTCAAATCTT